AAGATAAATATGTTCAATGTAACATCAATTTGAGTAAGATCAAGAGATTCAAAAATGAATCTGTCAAAACCCACAAGAACAACAAATTTTTGATAGTTTTAGAACTAAAATAGAGAGCTTTGATGGAAAATTAATCAATTCTATTTAGTGTCTAAAACATATCAAAAAGATTAGGTTCATAGGTTACCTGTCGGAAGCGTTGGCATCGTCGTTAAACTGTCGAAAGTTGCCGATAGAACGAGCTTGAGAGTAATGCACTCTCCTCTCCAATAGCCTCTCTACACACATAATGCCCCACACTAAAAATTGGCCACACACTCTACCTTATCCACACTTATAGCCCCCAAAACACTCATACATGTAGAGAGTTTACCAAACTTAATGGGCTTATATTATAGTGGTCCAATTGAGCTTTATAATTTGTGCTAGAGATGTTATTGGTCTAATAGGTTGACCAAAATACTTACAGAAGAGGGAATCTATAGGCCTCAAGCTAGTTAATAAAGTGTGTATCCATCTCATTATGGATTAATATTTGACATACATGTATTAACTAATTGACATTAACAAAGTTATCCATAGTATGCTTTATTTCATAATAGAGTGAATTATTATAATTATGGAAGTCCACATAAAAATATTCAAACACTCCCTACCTCCGATCGATGCCGCTACATGGTATTTCTAAAAGAACTGCGATCTCCAATCCTGACTGCTCCCGTTTTCGAGTGCCAAAAGCTATGACTTCGCCTTCGGTTTCTTCTCCTCTCACATTTGTCACCACCGTTCTGACCTTCATTAAAATTGTAGAGAAGCTCGACAGAGACTTTCTCGAGGAGGTTTATGCTTCTTCTTTTCATCCGGGTTTTGTTGGTTCTGTGTTCTTTGTGGGAATTGAGATCTGTTGTATTATTGTCTAGTGCATACCATCTGTTTGATAAAACTCATGACTCGTTTTGTGTCATTTTATTTGTATTTGTTAAAAGTTAAAATTTCCTATATAACTAAGTTAGAAGTTTCCATAATTGTAGAATTTTAGTGTTGAAAATATGTTTGATATGTCAAAGTATTGAGCTTAAGAGTAAAATTTTGTTCTCTAATATTAGTGTTAAATTTAAAAAGATTTTTTTTAGCTTTCTGCTCAACAGATTGTTTGTGACAGTTTTGATTGGTAATAATGGTCAGAATGGTCGGAAAACATAATAAGCATGAAAGTTTTTTTTTTCTTTTAATCGTGCAAATTAGTACCAGTCAAAACGGTCGGAAAAGGTAGAAAGTTTTGTGCAATTGTTGTTTTTTTTTTTTACCGCAGAGATCAGTACTAGTTAGAACAGTCAAAAAGTTAACACCGAGCAGAGTGGTCCCCAGTCAGAAAATAAGAATTCCCGATATGCACGGTTAGATTGTTCTAACCATATCTGATTGTGCATAATGATGGCCAATCTTATAAGCAGATCTTCTTACAGCACTAACTGATCCTCAAATTTTAAGGCAAACTGATCTTTTAGTTGACTGTTGTGTTGCGATCACTCGAATGTATGAAAAAAACGTAAAGTTAAAATTTTCAAATTATTGCGGATTTAATATATTCTTAATATAAAAATACAACATGATATTATTGAGAATATAATGCTACATTGGTGTGTGACAATAATGCATGGTCACGCAAATCTATGAAATTATTGTATATTAATCTAATTGTATGATGTTGATGCTATAAATATTGTGATATTTAATGTGAATTCATCTAATTTTAATCGAGGCAACCTTTCCAACCGAGCACACCTAAAAGAAACTTTTAAGCAGATTGGTCTTCTAATTAACAATATGTATCGATTCTTAAACGTGTGAAATTATGGGTATAAATATAAACTAAAGTTAAATTTTAATCGTCTAATTAAAAATTGAATTTTAACTAATCCTTAATATTCTAATTGACTAGTGCCTCAATAATTTAGTTTATGATTTATAATGATAAGCCAATGATTTCTTCTTACCGCTTAGATTGGTGCCGTTCGGAATGGTAAGAAAAGACAGTACGATAAAATGTGCTTATTGATTGCTTTTGACCACGCAGATTGGTACATGTCGAAATGGTAGAAAAAGGCAGTAAGATTACGGGTATTTATTTCCTTTTTCTCGCCGTTCTTTCCAGCATTGGTTAGAACGATTGGAATGTTTAAGAAGAACATATTGGTTCTAATTATATCAACATGTGAAATGGTTTTTTAAGTGGACCGATTTTGCCGTGCAGATCGATGTCTACACTTCTAACAAAACATTTTATTTTAATTGTTAACAGTGTTTCACTCACAATTATAATTTTTTTAATATAACTCAAAGTTAAATTTTCCTAATTGTTGGTGTTATACAATTAAATTGGTAATAGTTTAACAAATTGTGTTTAAAATAAAATTCGCCAATTTTAGAAAATCATAGTGTCGGTGATTATGCTGGAGTGTTGCAATAGAAGTAGTATGCTGATCTTATAGAAATCTATCGGGAGAGGATAGCGATCCAAATTTATAACAACGATTGACTTTCGTGATTACACTTGATTTTGATTTCGCATGAAAAACTAATTAATGATTTTATATAACGTTTGATTCTAATTGTTGATAGTGTCTCACTCACTCACAAGTATGGTTTTAAATATAAACTAAAGTTAAAATTAACTATATTTTGATATTATAGTGTTACATTAGTAATTATTTGACAATAATTCATCGATTACGGAAACTAATAATGTGTTTGTTGTTTTAAAATTAAATATGTCAAATTATGATTTATAAATATAAACTAAAGTTAAATTTGATCAAATTTTGATATTATAGTGTTACATTGGTAATTATTTTGGAAAGTATCGTATGTATTTAGTAAAATTTTGACCGAGCGGGTCGTTCTTATCAGGAAGACTATTCTGACCGGTTTCAAATTTTTTAACTGATGTGACCGGTCACAGTCTGCTCAACACTGTTCATTCGTCTTCCCCTTCAAATTTTCGGATTTGCAGCTAAAAAAAAAACTACGAAATGGTATGAATCTTGATGGTTTTTTAAATAGAACACCTAAACATGGATGCCCAACCTTTAAACAACAATTTAAAGAAGAAAAACGGGGTTCTGAGATTAAAATATCAAATTTGGAGCTTGATTTCTCAAGTTTTTTAGTGATTTTAAAAACTTTCAATTTGTCTCACATAATCGTCAAAACAACATTGGAATGTGAACGGAGATAGACGCCAAAGACAATGGACGTCGATGGGGGTGGAACTGACGGTAATTGGGTAGCGCTGGCGACGAGAAATGTTAGTGGAGAGAGGTTTTTTTTTTTTTCCTGAAGATGGTGGTTTTTTGTTTTGCTTTTTCAATATACATTTTTTTTTAATGGAAAAGGACATTTTGGAGAAGTGAAATGTTTCATTAAATGAGGAGGCTATCCGTTTGAAGTTTTCACATTGAGTGTTAATGACTTGATAAAATGGCTCATTTAAGGTTATTTTTTTAAAAGGGTCCTTGCCTTACACGATATTTATAGGAGGAATTTTTTTCTTTTTTTCAATTAAATTTTTATTTTTACTAGAATCTAAATCTAAATTATTTTAGTTAATTTTTTACATCATGCTCGAATAGTAAACACATGTGACACTCACATATTTTTTTCCGTTAAAAAATGACAGCGACTATCAATTTTGATTTTGTTGCTAACAATATAAAAATTAATGCTATAGTTTTTAAAATAAGGGCCCGTTTAGTTTGTGGATTCGAATTGGGGTAATTTGAACTGTAAAAAATATGGACTTGGTGATTTAAATTGAGATATAAGTCGGTGTATGAATGTGCAGATAAACTGTAATCCGAAGTAGGAATATAATTTGATTTGTCTTTAGGTAGAGTGTTAAAAGCAGTCAATTGAAAATTTGATTAGACTTTTGTAACAAATCTTAAAAAATCTCACTCTCTATGGTCAATTTTAATCGGTTATATGAATAGATATTTGTTCTTCTCCTTGCTCTGTATGCATAAGAAAAAAAAAATCATTTTAATCGAAGTTAAAAATAAAAGGCCCATTTGGTTCATAAGTTAAACAAAAAATTTGAAGTAGAAATTTAAATTTTGTGAGAGAAAAGTATGTAGCCAAATGATTTTAACAGTAATTCGAACCTACGAAAAAAAAGTATGAAAAGAAATTATGACATTTTAAAGCTTGGAGTAGAAGAGGAAATTTTTTTTTTTCATTTTAGTACCCTCTGTTATATCGAAATTTGAGTTTGGCATCCTCTATATTTTTAAAAATTTCATATCGGTACCTCAACTTTTTAAAAAATCTTTTTTTAATACTTTAGAGCTATTTTTTGAGACACAAAAAGACAATTATCCTCATTGTAAAAATTCACCTGTTGACCAGAATTTTAAAGGAAAAAAAAGATTTTAAAAATTATTAAACTTGTAGAGCATAATCCTTTTTTTAAAAATTCAACTCTTTAAAATCATTTTTTAAAATTCCTTTTTTTAAATTTTAGTCAACAGATGAAGTTTTACAAGAGTAATAATTTTTTCTTTTTATGTCTTAAAAAATGACTAAGATATCAAAATTAATTTTTTTAAAAGTTGAGATACCGGCATGAAATTTTAAAAAACGGAGGATATTAAACTCAAATTTTGATAAAAATATAGATACTAAAATGAAATTTTCTGAAAAGAAATGAACTTTGATGCTCATTCCAATTGAATTTTCGATTCAGATTACACAATACTACTCTAAGAGGTCGAAGTTTACTGTTCTTGAAACGGTAAATTTTCTTTTTTGTCCTTTCTGTGATTTTCCTTTTTTTCCCGTGTGGTTTTGCCGTGTTGCGCACTTCAGCTATTGAGTTTGTTATTGATCTAAACAAAGGGTAAAAGATCTATTTTAAGATCTAAAACCAACTGTCACCCACTGAAAAATAGTTGGGGGTCATTCGTGCTAAAAATCCCAACTAGAATTCTCAACTGAAAAAATAAACGTAAAGAAAACAAATGCAACTTCTTAGCCAATGCTAATCTTATGCGCTGTCCAGACAGCCGCTAAGCTTCTGCTTCTGCCTTGTCAATCTTCCACGTAGACTGAAACCTACCTACACCTTTCTGCCACGTAAAATACACGCGCCTCTTCTTCTTCCTCCTCCTCCTCCTTTCCTCTAAGAAGAGATTTCATTCATAAAACTGCAGACGGCCACGGAACAATCTCAGGGTTACCGGGCATAAAGCGAACCGAACCAAACCAAACAAGGGAAAAGAAAAAAAAAATGGAAAATTGTGGCGCGTGTACATACGCGCTTCATATTGCGCGTGGTTTTTCGGCAATATTGAATCAGGGAACCATCTATGCCACATAATAGAATAATCTTTTGCATAAAAGAGACCAAGAATAGTCTGATGGGGCATGGTGGGTACCTCTCCCTCTCCTTCTATGTGTAAAAATTTCCACAAAAAAAAAAAAAAAGAACCCCAATGTTTCTAAATCCTCTTCGCCAAAGCAACAGTTTTGTTGTTTGAAGCGCTTTCTTGCTTGTAAGTTTCATTTATAATCAGTTTTTCAATCTCTTTTGTGTTTTTCTTGTTTCTGCTTTGTTGGTTGGTGGTGATATTCTGGAATGCTTATAACTGTTGGGCCATGGCAAATTAAAAGAATTTCATTTAAGAGTCTAATTCATGAACTGGGTATTTAGTTTGGGAACTGTGAAAAGACAAGTAAAGCTGTAATCTTGAGCTGATTCCGAGGCTGTTGCGTTTCTGGGGTTGAGTTTTAGGTTCTCCATAGTTGTAACACAGTGGTGATAAGGAGGACAATTGTGCATAGAGAATAAATAGTCGATGTTTGTGCGTTTGAATTTGGATTTTCTAGATGGGAATTTCTACGTGCTGGAGATATTATGGTGATGGAATTGGTGCTTTACTTTGGTGTGTTTGGATTTGGGATTCCTATCCTTTCACTTGGTATCTAAAAAAGGCAAAATGCTTTTAATTATTCTGTGTTAAAATATAAGAAATTGAGAATTTGGAACAAATTCCCTTGCTCCGGGTTGGGATTTGGTTCTATTGATTGTTTTCCTCAGTTAAAACCATTGGTAGTGTATCATAGACAAGAGAACTTACAGGAGTTCCTCAGTTTTCTTGAGGTTTTATTAGATATTTTTACCTGAGAAAGAGATGCAGCGGGTTCGGTTTTCCTCCGAACAAGCTCCCGTGCATAAACTAGGGGATTCTCAAATGACATTATCCCCCAAGTTTAGGTTAGCCGTTGTGCAATCTTCTCTGTTGAATGCTTCATCAGAGTTGGAATTGTCTTTAAGGGGAGAACCCTTGATTCCGGGCCTTCCTGACGATGTTGCGCTAAATTGTCTCCTTCGGCTTCCAGTTGAGAGTCATGCGGCTTGTAGATCTGTTTGCAAGAGATGGCATTTACTTCTTGGCAGTAAAGAGCGTTTTTTCACAAGACGAAAAGAGTTCGGATTCAAAGACCCTTGGCTGTTTGTGTTTGCTTTCCACAAGTGCACCGGGAGGATTCAGTGGCAGGTTCTTGACCTCACTCATCTCTCTTGGCATACTATCCCCTCAATGCCTTGTAAAGACAAGGTTTGTCCCCATGGATTCCGATGCATTTCAATCCCGCACGAGGGGACTCTCTTTGTCTGTGGGGGCATGGTCTCTGATGTAGATTGCCCACTTGACTTGGTCCTCAAGTATGAAATGCAGAAAAACCGTTGGACTGTGATGAATCGGATGATTACCGCTAGGTCTTTTTTCGCAAGTGGGGTTATTGATGGAATGGTTTATGTGGCTGGAGGAAACAGCGGTAATCTTTTCGAGCTGGACTCAGCTGAGGTTTTGGATCCTCTGAAAGGCAATTGGCGTCCCATTGCGAGCATGGGAACAAATATGGCCTCCTATGATGCTGCAGTTCTCAATGGGAAGCTTCTTGTCACGGAAGGCTGGTTATGGCCTTTCTATGTCTCCCCGAGGGGTCAAGTTTATGACCCGAGAACCAACAATTGGGAAAGCATGGCTGTTGGACTGAGAGAGGGCTGGACAGGTTCAAGCGTGGTGGTTTATGGCCACTTGTTCGTGGTCTCCGAGCTCGAGAGAATGAAACTTAAGGTATATGACGCAGGAACTGATTCTTGGGAGCCAATAGAAGGACCTCCTTTACCAGAACAGATATGCAAACCATTTGCCGTAAATGCCTGCGACTGCAGGATTTATGTCGTGGGTCGGAACCTTCACGTTGCGGTGGGCCATATCTCCAGGCTTAACAATAAAAGCAATTCTGAGAAGTGGAGCTTTGGTGTTCAATGGTGTGTTGTTGATGCTCCTGATTGTTTCTCTGACTTGACGCCTTCGAGTTCTCAGGTTCTATTTGCTTAGTTGTTTGATTTTCCTTTGATGTCGTCTTATATATGGCCTTAAACTAAGTTGTAATTACTTGAAATAGTTAGCTTTGTAGAGTGCTAATATCTGTGTGAAAGGAGTTTTGGTGGTTATGGGGTTGTAATGAATGTACAAGTAGTTTTGCTCTTTTCCTAATTTTTCACCTGTTTTCTCAGTGATTGGTACCTTGGTATATTTACTATTCTTGTCTTTTACTTTTGGGTGTTGCCTGTAGCATGTTTTTTTTTTTGGCTGAACCTGTAGCACGGTTGAAACTTGTATTTGGCCTCATAATTTTATTACAATTTCTGAAAAATATTGATTCAATTATGCGAATAGCTACTAAGAGATTTTCAACAAACTTTATATTCACAAACCTTGGGAAAAGAACTCTTCATGAATTCCAGACTCATTAATCTGCGTTTATCCACGAGTATCATCACCCAAATTAAAAAAAAAATGTTACAATGTTTGATAGTGCATGTGTGCATGATTTTAAATGTTAGATTTAGTCAAGACCACATCAAAATAAAAAAGTTATGCAAAATTAACAGAACCTGATACTGTTTAAAATAGAATACTATAGGCGGGGTATTTCTTTCTATCCAATTGTAAAAATCTCATTAGAAGTGAGACTGTAGTTAGTCTATATGATGATTACATATGGTGCATGTGTTCATTATAGTCATTAGTCTTCTCACCCCCAGACCGAAATTTAAGCCCTTCAGAATTTGTATTGGATTCATGTAATAAATCTGTGTATTGATATTTGAAACAATTGTTATCTTTTTGATATTGTTATACAACTGTCGGACAATCTCTTGAATTGATGATGTTTAGATGGTACTGAGATGATAACCATAATCATCTCGGATTACTGATTCTTGAAAATGACAACTTGGAAAGCAAGCTGGATATCAATTTACTTTTGCATCAAGCACATAACTTTTTTTTTTTTTTTTATCTGAAACATCAAGCACAAAACTTTTGTATGCATTCTCCATCCTCATTAGAAATTTCTTTTTAACTTATGCTCCTTACCCTCCTGAATATGGGGTGAACATATTGAGATATAAGAATTCTAAACAGAGCCGGTAATAAGATTCGGTCAGTTTTGCATATACAATATAATATATATATATATATATATATTCATTTTTGATGGAATTTTGATAGTAGAGTTGCTTAATAAAAGATTCTTTCTTTGTTCTATTTGGCTGCGATTCCCTTTTTGAGAGAAGAGAACAAAAGAATTTCTTTTCCCTTTTGCAAAGGAGAGACAAAAGAAAGTCATAAAGGGAGCCTGATCACGCATGCCACCATCAAATCAAGAATTGTAAAACATAAGATCAAAAGTAACATAATCGAGCTAAAATGACGCAAACTTGTCGAAAGGACGAAGTTTTTAGAGTTCTAAATGATGTAATGAATTGAAAACCTATCTTGCTGGATACTCCTATCCAATTGGATGACTATGAGCGTACAACAAAGCTAAAAAAGAGGTGATTCGCAAAACTACTTGCCAAGGGGGATCCTAATAGTTCTAGCAAAGGTTTAAGAGTCCTTACCGTTTTAATCCTAATTCGAAATCTGTCTACTTTTTTTTTAATACCCCGCTTAATCGTGTACTTTTGCTTTAATTTGACTCTGTCCATCCTGCCTGATGGTTCTCAACGGGCATGGAGGCACTGCCGCCACTAAAAAAAGAAATAAACAATTCTTTATGTTTATATTGTTGTTTAAACCAATTGTCTAGTCTAAAAAGGAAAGTTTTCATCGGTGCCCCAACTAAACAAGTATTGTTAATATTTTTCTTTATTTAATTCTTTGCTTTATTCTCAAACCTATTATCTTGGTGTTAAAACTTTTTCCCCCTCAAATCCCACCATTCATATATATATATATATATATATTTAAGGAAAATGAGATAAATATCTATTTAAATAGTATCACTTTCATGTTTGACCCACAAATACTGATCAATGATTTTTATCAAATAATTATATTAATTATAAGGGGTAAAAATTTACAATTTTTTCTTTATCTAATTCTAATATAACTTTCTTTTTATTATTTTCCTTTAACTCGAACCATTTAATTCACACGTCCTTTTAAAAAAGAGTTTCACTCAATCCCCCTTTTCAAATATCCTATTTCGTAAATTTTTTTTATTTAATTGTGTTCCACTATAATCAAAACCCGACTCCGTGTTCGTACCAATCCTAAATGAAACATTTATACAATAAAATGTATTTCAATTTAATTTCAAACATTTTATTATTGGGGAAATGTAATTAGATACAATTTTTCCGGGGGGAGAGTATTAGGCCTAAAAAACACTAAAGGTGGGCTCATAAGTTGGCCCAACAATAAATGCCAAATCGGCCCGTTGGAAGTTGGCTTATAACACTCCGATCCGATCCCAATTGACCAGCAAATCGAGGAGGGGACCGGACTGAAAGAAACTCAGCTCTTTGCAGTGAAGAAGAAGAAAACAACGACAAAGAAGAAGAAGAAGAAGAAGAAGAAGAAGAAGAAGAAGAAGGGAAGGAAAGAGAATGGGGGCAATAACGAGCGCAGTAATAGCAATAGCAGGAGTTGTGCTTGGATGGATCACCATCGAGATCGCCTGCAAACCTTGTCTCGAAAAAGGTCGTGAAGCCATTGATCGATCCCTCGATCCCAATTACGATCCCGACGATAACGACATCCAAGCTCCTCTTAATCCCAACTCACATCCCCAAAATCTTGTCCTTGATCCCAACTCCGATTCTGCTTCGTCTCCTGCTACTACTACTTCTGATGCAATCAAGGCCGTCTGATATCATCTACCTATCCTTCCTTTGCGTAAACGGCAATTCATCCTCCGTCGTTTTGCTTCTTGTTCTCTGCCTCTTGAGTCTTTGACTTTTGGTGATTCTTGGGATGTAATGTATTATCTATTCTATCTTGTTGTGTTTCTCACACATGGGTGTGTTTTGTGGAACTTTAGTTGGGAAGATTATAATGGAATTCTTTTTTTTTTTTTTGTAATTTTAATTATTTGTTTAGTTTAGCTTTCTAATTGTTATCTAATTTCCTTGTGTTATGATTAATCTTTCGTTTGTTGCCTGCGAATGCATAGCAAGCTTTGCCACACCCCACAGCGTAAATTAATATTTTTGGATCAATTCAAACCAAACAATTAATATTTTTGGATTTTTGGTCCCACTTTGATCGGTATTTGGTCAGCATTGTTTTTGGTTTAGTTTGGTTTGGTTTTTTAAAACCAAACAAACCGATCAAAACTGCATATATGAAATTCTTCTCATCATCATAAAATAATTTCTATTAATTATTGTAATAGATTATTGTAATAGGTTTTAAAATAGTTAAGCGTAGACTCCAAAACTAAATAATATTGGATATTATTTTGAAGGATGAAAAACTTTTATAAATTTGAATGTTGTTATGTTAAGAGTTAAATGGCAAACTTTAAAATAATATGAAAAACTTTGCATGTTTGTCTAATGTCAGAAACTTTTCAAGCCTAACTCCAAACCTGTAATAAGTTATTTGTTTGAATTTAGTTTTTCTCTATAATATCAAAATGTCCAGATAGAATTTTTATTTTTAGTTTGGTTGATGATTTTTGCTAAAGAAAAATGAACAAAACAGACCACGATACCAAACGGCAGCAATGTTACATCAAACTCACATTCAATATTTTTAACATATACTTTATTGAGATTTTTTTTTTTTTTTTTGGAAGTGAAAACTTTTATTCAACGTGGCATTAAGTCTGCTTTTACAAACAAAGCAATAAACAACGGAACTGAATCAAGCCAACAAAAATCAACCGATGGTGAAACATCGAAACAAGCCAAGTAGTGGGCTACCAAATTCCCTTGACAGGAAACGTAGCAAACATTAGCACTATCATTACGTAAAATCACTTCTCTAATGTTCTCATTTAAGATAAAGGGCTCTTGACACCGATGAACGGATGGCTCGAATCACATTCACATTAATAGCATTCGATTCAAGAACCCACTTTTGAAAATCACTCCAAGATGCCATACTTGCACCCTCCCTCGCTGCACGGCTAAGCATTCGGCCACATAAAAGAGAAAAAGTTCCCAAAATAACGAATAGATGCAGCGCCGATGACACAACCGTTAAACATTCTTCGCCACAACACTGATTCCGGTGAACTTAAAGCTGTCTTTAACCGCTGCGTCAATGGTTACCAAGATTTTACAAAACTGATTAGTGTAGAATTCTCTTTAATATTTTATGTAGAAACTTGAAATACTCCCCGATTTAAAAAAATGGACGGCGTGGTTCAAGTTGAAATCAAACCTCATGCCTCACGGTTCGTGGAAATTAAGGGGACTCGACTCAACGTCATAATGTAGATTGGTCGGATTCAATATTTATCCCAAAGCTATAACCGAAGCTCTTAGAATGTCAATTGTTGCAACTGCTTTCCGCTGGGGGTATGAAATTTTGGAGAGAGAGGTACTAATGCTAAGGTCATAACGAAGAAGCGGGTTTTTTGGAATTCCCAGCAAAAAGAGGTCATATTTCAAAATATTAAGGGTGCCAATCACGTCATAAATTTTGGATATATTGGTTATCGAGACTAGTGATTTGGAATTTCCTACTCATATAATATATGATTTAACTTCAAGAAATGTCGGTATTTATAGTGGATTATGGCAAACAAGAAAAGCAACCGCGTTAATATGCCCATTTTCCATATTTTGATTCACATTCCATACGAGGTAAAAATGACATTTTTGACACAATATATATCCCTCTTTTGTTCCTTCCAAATAAATTAAACCAAACAAAACAACACAATACTAAGACGAAAGTACGATTGTATTTTGGGCAAAAATGGAAGAAAGTAATGTTGGTAAGAGTGAAATGTAGCTTAGATGTAAAGGTAACTAGAAACAAAAAGATAACAAGAAATGCAAGTATACCCTTCCCCTTTTTTTCGGTTGTCCTTCAATGATCCTGTTTCCAAGAAACTGAAAATCAATTCAGACTTCATGATAGGAATACAAATTTGAAAGAACAGACTCAAAATAATTTACAATCAGAGTTGATCTCAACAAAAATGAAAAAAACTACAAAGTTACTGTACATTAATCAGACAAGGGATTGAAGATTCTGCCTCCTTTCTGAGGACGGAAGCTCACCCAAGTCATTTACAAGGAGGTACGAAAAAGGATGATTATGCCAAGTAGTTGTAAATTTGGGGGTTGTTCTTGTCCCGTTCTAGGTACTCCCTGTCTATAAGGCTTTCAATTCTCTTCTTCAAATCGGCCGGTTTTATCGGAAACTTTAGCTGCTCAACAGAAGATAACAAAATTAGTTTATTCTTTCCAACAACATCCGACACACCAAGTAGATCATTGGAGGGTCCTATAGCTTGTGCCAAGGTCAACTACATGAGCTTAATTACATTTATGGGAACTGTAGTGTGCTTGAACAAAATGTCCAGGTATTTTGGATATAAATAATGCACAAGACTGAAAAAGAATGGGGCGCTTCAATATGTTATGGCACGACAAACATGTCAAAAAATATAAGGTTTTTATTTTTTAAAGGATATCATTTACCTGTTGGAAAAGTTCGGTAATCAGAAGAGTGTGACTTAGAACTTTTCTAGTCTTCATTATCCGAACAATAGCAGCATCAACCTGAAAATAGCAAACCAAACCCCCAAATTTTCAGATGGATACTCCATATGTTCTACGAGAACGTAGTCTCCTTTGGTATGGTGAAAGAAAAGCATCATAAATTGCAGAAGGAAAAAAAAAAAGTTTAATAATGAAAATTAACCTGATATTGACGATCTTGGAATACTCTTTCAGTGGTGCTTGTGTTCTCCTCCACTGTCTCCTTCATCTGGATTGCATTTACCTGAACGCATGAAAGTCATGTTAGTTTGAAGCTCCATAAAGAGCTGCAACAAATAGAGATTTAAGTACTCGAGTGACAAAAGCTTATGAATCACTAACGAAGCTTAAGATCACTACATCATAACATTTTACCTTGATACGGTAAAGAGGAGCACTAAACGCTTCGTTGAATACAAATGCATCATTGTCTTCCACGTCTCTCCCTTTTGGCAACTGTAGAATTAATGTTCAAAGGGAAATGATTCATAAATTACTAGATATCATACTTAGAGCTCGTTTAGTTCGCTGATTCGAATTTTTAATTCGAGTTGAGATGTGACTTTATGTGAGACCTTTTCTGTAGCAAAAAAGTTAGATGTGACTGTTTCTGAGAGCTTTTTACTGTTGCAAAACTTGAATTCTCAACTTGAATCGGTGAAATGAACGTGACCTTAATATTTCCAAATTCATCTATTCAACTAAGTCTCCTAACTAACAAAACCTGGCAGGTAATTGCCATCATGGAACCTACCTTTTGCAGGACTCTAACTTTTCCGCATGCAAGAGACTGCAAAGTTCTTCTTAGTTCCTTATCCTCGATGCCAGTGGAGTCTTTAATATCTTCAAAGCTCAGCCTCTCAGCGTCATTAAACAGCATGAGAACAACAGTCTGGAACAAAACAGATAGAACGTCACCAAACCTTATGGTTCATCTACTTGGGCCAGGCATAACTTGAAGACTAAGAAATGGGAAAGCAAGGGTGGGGGAATGGAAGAGAATAAATACCAACCTGAAAAAGTGAAACTGCAAGCTCCTTTTTGCCTTTAGGAAACTCGGCTTTTAAAACACAGTGACCTAATGAATTTTGCCACATTAAACGTCTTCCACTGTACTTGCTTAAGTAAAACTCCTTGAAAATGTCCTATTGACCAAGCAACAGAAAAAATTCACAAAATCACATGCACATTCAAATTAGTCATCATGAAAAGCATCAATATCGTAGAAAATCCCCTAACCTGGTAAACATTCAGTTCATGAGGGAGTCTAACATCCATGGGAGGGTATGTTGGCCAATACCTGAAGGAAGCGACCAAATCACCAACTAAACTTCAACTCTAAGCAAACTGAATACAATTAGAGATAATACAGGAATCTCGTTCAGCCTACCCTGTAGTTAGGACGTGAACACTCATCTCAATACCCAATGGAAGTTTTGTCCTTGCCTGGGATGATTGTTTGAACGACTCATTTATCTCTTTTGATAATTCGATGTCCTAAAATCATATACAAGGAATGAAGGTTAAGAAGGTATCTTAGCACAAAAACTAGCATAGCTTGAATGTGTACAATAACCGGTTTAATCCAACCAAATAAAGCTTCTAAGAGATCCTTGTTGTCATTTGACATGCTTACGAAGATGGGAGAAGCCCAAATGAAAATTAGATTGTTCAGACCCAAGTTTGAGCCTAAAGAAAAATCCCCCTCCAAGAGGATTATCTAACCATTCTACGAGTTAAAAAGTTTTAAACCCGGCATTGATAATTGAACATAAATCATCGCCCCGGTTATCTTTCATATATAAAGGAGCACAATAGAGAAAATATATATACATATGAATAAATCAGCCGTTTTAGATAAAAAAAAAAAACTTGACCAATAACACGATTAGTATCAATTCTTAGGCCTAAAATAAATTGGGAAACAAGCACACCTTAAACATTCCTTCAAGTTTGTTTGTGAATTGACTGCCACACTCGGTCTTCAACTGTAAGAGTAATAAAACCTCGTTAGCACGAAATTTAGAAATATAGTTATTATATCAATTCAAGGGGAAGAAAAATCCAATCCTAACCTTAGAGATCATAGACTTCTCTGCATCAATAGAAGCACTTTTGCCCAAAAGTAGCCTTTTTGCAAGATCCTTCTTGTAAAAAGCTTCAAATACATCTTTGCCCTTCATTGAAAAACGATAAAGCAAGTTGTTTTTATGGGTTTAATCTTGAAGACAATCAAAAGCAGGTATAATCTATGACAGAAACAACCACAGCAGAAACTGAGAGGAAATATTTTTCAATAAATCCACCGACAAAGTTATTCATTCTTCCATTAATAAATTGAACATACCTGTATAAACCTGAACAAAACCAAGACTTTATCAAGTGTGCCCTCCAATTCCTCTTCGGAGGTACCCTTATTCCCAGCACGAAGCTTCTCATCTAGGAACTTGGCAATTAGTTCAGCAGGTCGGTTCTGTTATACAGAAGACAATTTTCCACTCTTAAGAATTCATATAAATAGATTATGCAAAAATAATATGAAATGCAACAGCGAGATGATTTGGCAAGCAGGTGGTCGAGGAGGGAAGGGTCGAGAGCATGCCAGAAGGTTGGTTAGGAATGTAAGGGGAAAAATCACATGGCTAGACTAAGTGCAAAGACTCAAAGTGGGATGGGTCAAATACATGTGAGCAAGCTCAATGCGTTGGTAGCAATAACATTTTTAACCAAAGGTCCACATCGTTTCTTCTGTTATGAAACATGGAAAGCAAGTGTTGAGTAATTCAAAAAACAACATTCATTAAGTAGACATATAATATTGTTTTTGAATGTTCCGATTTGAGTGTCTTTAAGGTGATTTACAAAGTACTAAAGCTATTTACTTTTAAATGTCGGCTGCCCAATGATGATTCCTGACTCTTCAAAAGAAATTGAAAGAGAAACTTTGGAGTCATATAAGCGTGTTTTCTAGATGCCACGGATTGTTCAATGGCAGATTGATTAGTCGGCGATGTGATTGGATCTTGGGTTTGGGAATTGGTGATAAATTATATTGGGCAAGAGGTGTAATTATGAGTGTTGAAGCTGTTTAAAAGGTTTGGTTGACTCGATTTTCCGCTATTTTTACCGAGACTTAAGAGGATTCCGTGTGGGAAAGTTTTTAGGCTGGACAGAAGTGTGGCCTCATTTTTTTTATTTTTTTCCGAGAGAGTAACCAGTGGGGTGGCGGGGTGAGGTAATCGGCAGGGTGGGCGGCATGCTCGACACCGGGGACCTGCAGGTGGAGGCATGGTGGAATCTCGGATCTGGTTCGATATATCTTTTAAATGTTTTAAAACACGAGTTTTAGAAAATTTCAGTTTCTAATTGATTAACAGGAAGGGCAATTTTGACATTTCATATCCCAAAAATCAGCCATAAGGTACCAAAAAAAGGTTTTCTAGAATGTTAAGGTACCATTTCAATATTATCAAAAATTCAGGGTCCCAAAAGCATGTTTCGCTACAACACAGGGTACCAAAGTGATTTTATCCTTTTTAAAATTAAGGAAAGCCATAGGAAATGACAGGACAGAGAATGCAGGTGATCAAGAAAAAACTGAGGCTGTTTGGTACTTGTTTTGAAACAATTTTGCACGTTTTCCAACAAAGAGGTTTTGAAAATGATCTTGGAATAGTGTTTGTTTCGCATTAAGTGAGGAATGGAAAAAAAAAAAAAAAAGAAATGTCTTCATATTTTGTTAAGAAAATGGGAAAACACTCGAGTCGTTTATCCTTTTTCACCTTCATTTTTTACACTTATATACTCAACATACATTTTCAGAAACATAACCAAACAGTTTCACTTTATTTAATTAAAAAAAAAATCAAACACAATCTCAGAAACAATTTCCAATAACTATACCTAAAAATTCTCATTTTCATCTCCATACTCAAAACAAAACCATCTAGAGACGCTCTCAAACAGGCCCTTACTTTCTCATTTCCTTAAAAGAAAAAAAGAAAAAAGAAATAGAAATTTACCTGGCGCAAATTAATGAGATGCTCAAATGCGTCCTTTATGGTATTGCAAAAGGCTTCATTCTTGAAAAAGCTTTCTTCCCATATCGTGTCGAGAGAAGCCTTAAATTCCAAAAGGGAGGAAACCATATCTTTATCTTTCTCTTCATCCATGACAATGCCCTGACCTGTCCTCCGGATGTATGAGCTAAGGGCTTGCCTTAATGATTCAAGAGCATTTACTCTGGTAAAGAGATTGTACATCCTTTGAAGGTCCGCAATACGATTGGCATCCATCAGCATCATGAACCTCTTGAATAAGTCAAACACACGATGAGATAAGAGCTAATATGAAAGAATCAAGTAATTAAAGTCTAAATAGAAACCTTGTCAAGAATAGCGGATATATGGCGTTCAAGAAGCTGCTTTTCTGCACTTGCTATTAATGGCTTTCTTGTGCTAGCATCCAGATAGAGCAAGCATCTCTCATGTTCTTCATGTAACCTTGTCTGCAAGATAGCACCCACAAATCTCCAAATGTAATCATAAATTCCCATAGAAAGAGCTTCAAAAAAAGTAAAGAAAAGGCTTTGATCAACATGCTAGGAAAGTTATATGAGCAACGTGATTGGAATAAATTGTTGATTAAAAACAATAATAAGTTAGTGCACATATGCTAACTTAAACACAAAGGGATGGAAACAGATATTAACCTCCACATGCTTCAGGTAATCTGGAACATCTGATTGCTGCATGTATTGCATGCCTTCAGCAGCATAAAATTCAGAAGTGCGCTCAAGAAATGGCTTTTCAAAACTTTCCGAGTAAATTCCTAATGCAGTAAACATCTTCAGAAGATGGTTAAGAAGAGCCCTGTCCACTGCTTCACCTAATCTGTAAAACCAAAAACATAAAATTGGAACGAGCCCAACCATCACCAAACATAAGCAACATTTCTAGAGTTCAGCATTAAAGAACCGTAAATGCTAAACCATACCCAAAAATCAAAGGGTTAATCTCATAAATGGTCCCCAAACTTTACCCCAAATCTCATTTTGGTCCCTGACTTTTAAAACATCCTAAACTTGACCTCGAACTATCAGTTTGTTTCAATTTTAGTCCTTCCATCAGTTGGATGTTGAAAAACACTATGAAATATAGACGATTTTCTATTAGCAGAGTATCATCTTACATTAAGATCGCGTGTATACTATATTTTACTATTTTGTCAGCACAGTGTTATTCTCCATCAGTATCATGTACATATTTTGTCCTCTTTTTAGAACTTAACAAATAGGAAGGACTAAAGCTATAGCAAACAGATAGATAAGGGTTATGCTTGGGACGTTAAGAGTCAAGGATCAAAGTGGGATTGAGGGTACAGTTTGGGGACCATTTGTAGGATTAACTCAAAATCAAAAGTCCAAACATCAGGTTTTAGTCTAGAAAGATAAAATAAAATAAAGTTTACAGCAATTTTTTCCCATAGCACCTTCACCTAAGGCCCAACAAATCCACATACATCAATAATAATAACCCCATTGGCACGCTAAAGCCTAAAAATACACGTCCCAGTAAAATTAGCCAACAAATAAGCACTTTATGGCAGGTTTGTTGTTATCCCTATCAAAGAATTTTGGAGGAAGGACCTTACTACTTGAAACAAACTACGCACTCTTAAAAACTTAACCAAGAACAAATGTAACGTAAGAAGGAATACTCTTGAATATCAAGGGTAAAAGAACCCAAAAATTTTCTGAAAAAGGTCCTTCACTTCTTTCTCCATACATTAGTACCTTGGCTTTAGTATTAGATTGAGTATTCATATCATCAAATAGCCTCTTCCTTGATGCAGGCTTGGAATTTCAAAATTGTGTCAACAATTCATTTTACCAATTGACGGTGTTAGAAAGCCAAACAGAATTCAGAAATAGTAAGGGATTCTATTTACACAAATCCAGAACACCACAATAAATCCAGCATAGAAGAAGTAAGTTACCTTTCTTGTTCAATCATTCTTAACAGACCAGTAACAGTTTTGTGCTCTACTTCTTGAGACAAAGAAAGATGCTTGCGGAAAAGTTGCAAGCCCATGTCCCACAACGAACGCACATTTGGTGTTTGTCTCACATATGTCCTATCTAAATATAAGGCTATTCCACGTATCATCAAAATCTGGTCACATAGATCCTGCCAGCATCTCTCAACGAGGGACAGAAAAACCACCAAATCAGGGCTTTGGCCAACTAAGGCTCGCAATGCTGCAGCTATATGTGTTTCACATTCTCTTTCAATCCGTTGATAAAGATTGGCCCCCAGCTTGTGCAGGCATAGATTATTAACAGCCTGAGAACAACATAATTGATTTACAGTGAGCTGCGTTCAAAAGCTAATTTATTCAAGGACAGAAAAAATCTGATAAAATTTACCTGATAAAGCTTCTCCAAATCACAAGAATCACGTCGCTTCAAGAATATAGCACAAATAGCTGACTTCAGCTTTGCCCATGTTTCGTCTTCAAAATTTACGGGCAATTTTGGTTTTTCTTCATATAGAGAAAAGTAAAATACATCAGCCAACCTTCAAATGCATAGTGCAGTTAAAACTCTTTAAGATTCCAAATTTCATGATGGTTAAGAGATTCCTATGTCAACAAAATACAAATCTTTTGTTTCACCCATAATTTCAAGGTTTGTTCAGCACAACAAATGTTTGACAGCCTTAAGAAATACAAAGCCAGTAAAACTGGAAACATCAGTGATAGAAGTCACTGACAGTCTGATATATTTACAATCACCAAAGAATTGAGTAATTCATAACAATTGCATCATAACTTGATAGACAGAGTGTTACGACAAATCAAACCATTTTTAACTGTAAATATGTCAAGCAAAGCCAAGGGAAAGGCTCGCAAACCACACGTTTACCTAATTTAAAAGAGAGATCAATATTGTAGGGCCATGAAAATAGATATAATAAGAAAGAAACCCCAGAATAAAGTTTTTCACTTTTCTGAAAATTTCCTGCCTGACTCTAACAAATATTTAGAAGAGAAATATGACCCAAGCCTCAAAAGAAAAAATGTATTATAATTGTTCCTTGAAATAAGGGACATATGCATGCCTCAAATCATTTGCCCAACAAAAATAACACTTAGAATTAATTGCTTTCATCCACCAAAGAGCTGATTTCAAAAAAAAAAAAAAAAAAAATGCACATCAGTTTTCAACCCTTAGAAGGAAAACTTTTTGCAATGTGACACTTCAATTTTTCATGTATTTTTTAGTTTTTACTGAAAAACCCAATTTTATGACAACCCAGTCAAACAACGATTTTAAAGACCAAATTCCCCAATCCACTTAAAAATCAGAAAATTGTTTTTTTACCTCAGATTTCTTTAAAAAAGTATTAATGTAATTGGTTTGGGACCACCACATAATCCTAATGAGCTTTTAATTTGAGATTAAAGAAAATTAATTCTGAAATCAAATCCTAATATGGCATTCCCTTCACAAGCACACAATAACAGTCAAGAGGACAGCGAGAGACCAAAAAAGAAAATGAAAAAACGTCAAGGAACAAAGCAAATTAAAAAAAAAAAAGACCACGAATAAAGCAAGGAAAACTTGAGGAATTCTGATGCTAGAGCACGAGATTGAAGGACATCATATCCTAGAAAGACTCAAATCTTTGCAGAGTGACCAACAAGACCATGTGAAAATAGAGAATGAGGTAATTTATAAGTTCATAGATAAGCAAGAAAACAAAATATATGTACAAACCATATGTCACTCTTCTGGGTGGCTCTATAACACGGTACACACTCTGCAATGATAATACGCTGAATGGTGGAAGTTGATATTAAATTCATTGAGTACCTGATTGGCTGAGTTTCGTGATAAACTATTAATTTGAACCTAAGAATTAGAAAAAAGTAACCAACAGACAACAAGCTCAATCTTCTCATCTATGACAAGACTTATGGGCCATATGGGCCATAGGTTTGAAGAGAAATTCAAATTAGTTTAAATTTTTGTGTGAGAAAATAGTGTAGTGAAAAAGGTTTGAAACAAATCTATGGCATTAACAAAAAGGCTTAATACATTCAATCTAGCATGACATGTAAAAAAATTGAACATTGGCCGTCTCTAAATAAAGAATAACACATAGAGAGAAACCATTTTGAATTACCTATTGGACACATAAGAACTATGCAGAATCTAATTGGGCTTTTATATCTATATCTATTGGACACATAAGTTCTTCATTTCTATATCTATTGGACACATAAGACCTAGAATCTAAGCAGCTCCTAAAGAAAAGAAAACCTAATAGTATTCCTAATTCCGTCCCCAAAACACTTGCGAAGACATTCGATCATCAGAAGCCCCTAAATCCACAGAACCCTAAAACGCATAATCGAGAGATCCTTGGGCAAATTCAATACCTAAAGGAAAAGAAATTCGGAAATCATCATTGAATTCTAGAAAGATCCAAGAAGCACAAACCTTTGTCTTTGTTGAACTTGATAACGAACTTCTTGCCGGGGGGATGGGGAGGGGTAGCCTTCTTGCGGGACAAATTGGCGGCGGCGCCGTCGGACGGCTTGGGATCTTCGTCGAGAGCCATGGAGGGGTCGAATACGACGTCGTTGTTGTCCTGGTTGTTGTGGTGGAGGCCATTCTTGTTGGGGTCGAGAGAGCAGGCCATGGCCTGGGATTTGGTCTTCTTCATCGGAGGTCCGTTTGTGGCGGCGGCGGTGGAGAAGGATGAGGAGGAGCTGGCGGCGGCGGCGTTGGTGTTGGAGCGGCTGCTGGACAAGCGTTTGGTGGGGTGAGACATGAAAGTGAGATCAACAGAGCATTGTAGTGAGAGAAACAAGAGAGAGAAAGAGAAGGTAATCTATAAAATGGAAATGAAGATTTGAGAAGGAAGCTGATATGCGTGTGTGTGTGTGTGTTTGTGCGAGTGTGAGAGAGACTGACGAAGGAGAGAGAATAGAAAGAGAGAATTTTTTTTTTTATTAAAAATTCTTTTTTCTAGTTTTAGTCTTAGATTTGTAATAAGAGTTTTTTTTAGCTTTTTTTGATATGATTAATAAAAATGAATTAACGATAATTTTTTATTTATTAACCGTTAAATTTATATTAAATATTATTTTTTTATATATTATTTTAATATATTATGATTTTAATTAGATCTAATAATTAAAAAATAGGTAATTAACACGGACGGTCTTTAATCTCTTGAATAGGTGACAATTTAGTTCTTATTTTTTTAATTTTAACAAAACGACTCCCAACCTTTTTAAACTGATGCAATAAAAACCTTTCTGTTAAATTGTAACGCCGGTTAAATTAATTGAGATTCATTAATCAAATCCGCTAGTTAGTATTAATTAATCTGATATTAGTGAAAGATTCTCAGTTATAATTATCACGTAAAAGACATTTTTTCTTTAAAAATGATTGTTTTGAAATTGACACTATTGTCCTCCCGAACAGTTTTAAGTATTGGTAACTAACTTTTCAGAACTTGAATAATGGGTCATTCCATACTCTATGCAAATTGGGCTTTGAAGTCTAATCATCAAATTTACAGAGAAAACCCAAGCTCATTTTTCCTTTTCTTTTTCTTTTTTCTTTTTTTTCTCCTTTTTTCTCTCCTTCTCTCTTTCTCCCACGTTCACTCTTTATCTCTCTCCACGCCGGCCAAACACTCCGATGAGGATTTCGGTGTATGTTTTTGACACCTCCCGACTCGTTATAAAGATCTCGATGAGCTAAGCATGTTGACATGTTGCACGACCTCCAACTCTACCGAAATCAGCCGCAATCGCCGCCCGAAGTTCTGAAAATAACTGAAACTTCCGATAGCGATATCTCCTCCGTTCGACATCCAATCAAGGTGATTCCAGTTCCTATGGATTCAGAACGAAGAGACGAAGAAAATCTATCATTTTTCATAGCTCGATTTTGGCTGGAACACCACCGTCCATGGTGGCCAGAATTCCCACCACCGCCACCGTCATTCTCCTCATTCCCGGTCGCCCTTTTTGCCACTGCCAATGCCATTGCACTCAGAGGACAACGCAGAGCAAGAAGTAACCCTTAGCCGCCTAAATCTGCCACCGTTTGCCGGAGATTGAAGCTTGTCGCTGCCGCTGCTGTGGTGTAGGGTGGTTCTGACAATCTAACCGTTGGATCATCATGATTTTGGTGTCTAAATGCTCATAAGATCATAGGTAATGAAAGCCCTCAACAAATTTTGAGATTCCATAGCTGAAGAATTAAGATCAATGTCACCGGATTTTGTCAACATTTTTTAGTTCGATCTGAGCAGTTAGAGGCCGAATTTGGTGAAATTTACCACACCATTGAACTCATAAGGGTCAATTTCGGGGGGGTAGGACCCAAGTCCGCCGCGAAAATATGCTCCGGCAACCTCCGCTGCCGATGGCGACCGTATTCCAATAACATTCTGTTCAGCAACCTCCCGACCTCCATTCATCAATCCGAGATCATATCCTAACTCTTTTCGACGTGCTAAACGCAATGGTGACCTCCATTGGCGCCAATTCCACTCTGTTGAAAAGTCTACCGGTACCGTGCACACCGATCGAGGCGAGTCGAATGCATTTGTTGAAGTTCAAAGCGAGCCGGGGAGCTTCAAGAATAAACGGTTGGACAACGTGAAGTTATTCGTAGATTAAATTGCCAAGAGGTAGGATATTCTTGTCTATATCCTTGTTAGCCTTGTTTCAAAGTATTTTGGCTTATGAAAATGTTTTAAAGACAAAACATGTTTTAAAAATAGCACGAAATATGCTATTGAGCTTATAATGAATTGAATTAAGATTTTAACAGATATTCCTTAAAATAAGATGTTTTAAGAACTGGTAAACCTGATGATGACCTAGATATCAGGATATGGAGATCGTATCCCTGGAGACAGGACCCGAAACCTTACGGGCTACTATGGTGGTGTTTTGTATTGCATTGGTCGTAAGTAATTTATTATTAAATTACTTACTGTTTGCCTGAAATCTGGAATTTAAGTTTATTTACCTTTCAGTAAAAAGGTTGTTTAGTTCCGAATGATTCTTTCGGGCCTATATTTTTATTACTTATTCAGTTTTTATAAATTATATTTTACTGGGCCTTTCGGTCACTTTTTCTCTATTTTTAATGTTTTAAACCCCCACCAGAGTTAGTGGTTTAGATTTACAGCATGGCAAGTGGATGTCAATAGCTTGAAGGCGCGAGATTCGAAGTGGTACGTTGGTTTCGGATGTACAATTTTAATTCTGAGATGTACTGTATTTCTGTATATAAGCTGTATTGGTTGATATTGTCCTAGAGTTATATTATTTTAAACTTTATGGACTGTTTTAAATATTGTTTGCAAAAGAAAGACTCCGGACTAATATATTTTAGTATCTATTTTGGTATTTATATATTTTATTTTATTTTCATGGATTTTTCTTAACTAATCCAGTTTAATTAAGTTAAATTTTAAATTAAACCCCAATAATCACGGCCTTATCCTTAAGGTCCTGACAGTTTTTAGTATCAGAGCACAGCTTCAAATTCCACGAGAAATCAAGCCTGTGTGAGTTTTCTATAGAGTATTTTTGTTGTTTTAACAATTTTCTGTCGGGACATGTCGTAAAATACTAGTTTGTACATGATGCTGTTACACTTAAGAATTTGACGTTAGAGTCTATTACATTTTCTTAGAACACTTCGATGGATAGATTCCATGTTCATATATCAATGTTTGTCGATATGAAGCTTAAAATCAAAGTTTGACTTTGAAACTCTCATGAAGTTTTCATTTTGATCTAATGCTATAGATTTGTTTCCACAAGTGATATTGACTCTTGTCAGTTTTAAATTAAAAAAAAAAAAGAATTGACCTTGGAATTCTCATGAGGATTTCGATTTTGAGATGATATTCATTCTGTCTTCCGCGTAGTTGAACTCTCGATACTAGTTCCTTCCACCTTTCGACACGTCTAACGTGGGAGTTTAAGTTGATGGAGAGCGATGACTTGAAACCAAGCAATCTTGATCATTAAAGTTTCCTCCCTCCTTGTTTTGCTTTTCTCAATTTGATCAATGCACAAGTTTAGTCTTGCCATTTAGATTTGTATTCTAGCTGCTCGTCTCAATTCACTGATGCGTTCTTTTATCTCTTGAGGGTGTTTTACTTAAAATTGTTTATTTAATGGATTCCTTGAGTTGATGAGATATTATTCTTCTTTCAGATAATAACGTTGGTGGCGATGGACCCCGTCGAGAGATTGATGCTTATCTCTGATATTAAATTATGTTCAGCTTTTGTTTGGGAAGTGTGGTAGGTCATAACCTACATGTTTTAGGATTCCAAGTTCGAGTTCTATTCTTAATCTATTTTTACGAAAAGCTAATCCCCCTATTGTTATTAGCGTATCGATTCGTGCTATCTTCCTATGTCACTCAGGAATCAAAATTCTTTCTTGTCTCAAGTGTTAGTCTCGGTGATTTCCTCATTAAATCTAAAATATGTTATTGTAAGACATTGGCTTTGGATATTAATTCTATATCATACCACTCTCTGTCATTTCATTTTCAAGTTCAGTGTCAAGCCTGACTTATTCTTAGAGTTGACCATGTCACCTATTTCCTTTTAGTGAATGGTTTTCATTTGGTGTGAGATTGGTAGTCAATTTTGACTTCGAAAATCCTCATGCTGTCACCAGGTTTTGGAGATTCAATCGATAATTTGGGTTCATATCCATTCATACTAAATTTCTAGTAGTTCTTCTTTTAGAGTCAAATATGACTGAAAATTTCTTCAACTTTCTAGATTATAAGTCAATGATTGATATTCTTGTGCTCGATCACCTAAGAATTGGGTGTCTCTATTCCAATGGTTGAAAGTCTATGGCCTCGTTCACTTCGTGGATTCGAGTTTTTAATTCGAGCTGAGATGTGACATTTTGTGAGAGCTTTTTACTGTAGCAGAAAAAGTTAGATGTGACATTTTCTGAGAGCTTTTTACTGTAGAAACCTAAAACTGAAAACTCGAATCGATGAAATGAACGAAGCATATATTGTTGATTGACTTCTAGCTGGAATTGATATTTTGGATGACAAAGTGTTTCCATGTCTCATTCCATAATTACAAAACTGATAAAGACTCGAACGAGGCGAGTGGACCTATTTTATTAAGATTGGAGTTTTGTTTCTTTATCATTGATAGAATGATTGACTGTGTCAATTGACGTCATGATGCTACTAGCGGAATCGCAAGATAGATGTTCATTTCCATCGTTTGACACGTGTGAATCCACAAAAAAGGCGTAGAAAGTTCTAGCTCATAAGTTCCAAGATGTCTATCCTCATGAATTGTCGTATTCGCCTCGTTTCCGTCATGTGAGTGGCATTCTTGCTTTTGACTCATATTCCAAGTGGTGTTTTAAATGGGAGAACTTATTGAGCAGTTGAGGTTGAGTCCCCTCGAGCTTGAGGTGTTAGGTTTGATTACCTTAGATAGATGCCTTGGCAATAGATCTCTTGATAATTTTATGTGAACCATTAACCTATAAGCCTTTAAGTGCTAAAGGATTGAACGAATTAGAATGAGTAGTTCTAGTGATGAGTATAAACATCATTTTGGACGTTTTTCAAAACTAATGTCAAACCATAAATGTTGCATTAAAAACCAACTTTGAAGTCACTTAGTACACGTGGTGAACTTTATGTAACCATAAGGATTTTCCCAGACGGACGTCGTAGCCTGGGTAATGCAACTTAGAATATTAGAAATAATGCATGAAATACATGTCGTTCTAATTTTTTGTAACATATTTTTTAGGGCCTTGTAAGTTTCTAAACTTAGCATGTGATTTACCGAATCGAAGGTCTATGTGTCTAGTTCCTATAGGAGCTAGAGATATCGATTTAGGA